GCAGGAGGCGGAAGCGTCCGCGAAGCGCCAGCGCGCGAGGGAAGCAGAAGCAGAGAGTACGGCCATCTCAGGACCGAAGTTAAAGAGAGCCGGGGAAGCGGCGGTGGGGGGGGAAGAAATGGCGACCGGGCACTGCTGTAGAAGAGTAGGGCGGCCGAGGCAGCACTTGTGGCGAACTATGTACCCGGCTGATGTTGTTGCGCCCTGTTTCCCTCCCTGCTGTATGCTATACTCCTTTATGTATGTCCTTTGTAGTTTGCCTTCGGCCTCTGTGCTGTGTTTCTTTTTTTTCATGTCCTCCCTGCCTACTCTGCTGTGTTGGGTACCTTGATCTCGCTTTTGCTGTTGCCTTTGTTTTTGTACGTCTGGCTGTCTACCCATCTGCCGCCTCTTTGTCCTGTTTGCCCCGTTACTCCCATGCCCTGGTGCGTAGTGCCTGGTGCTGGTATGTTACCCTTTGATTTTTTCTTTGGGCGGGTGTGGGAAGCGTCCTCCTTTACTTTTGTTTTTGTTTTATTTTGATCGGTTTCCGAGGGCTCTTTTCTCGAACGGTCGGTGCGATACCTGTTCTTTTCTTTTTATCATTTTGTGTTCTTTTTCCGAGTGATTTGTACCCTATTTTTGTTTTGTTTCCCCGCGGCGTCGTATGTGCCGGGTTTTGAGACCACGGGCTCCCCATGTTTTGTGGACCATAGAGCTAATGTGAAAAACAACAACAGCAACCACAAGCACCTTTCCTCCAAGTAGAGGGGATACGAACCTACCCCAGAAACAATTAGGTGGGGTGGGGGACTCTTTCTGGGACTGCACGGGTGTAGCCAACAAGAAGCCACCGAACAACGCTCTCAGAATCAGTTGCTTTAATGTGAGGCGACGTGATTCATTCGCTAGCTTGTTGAGAGTTGAGCACGGAGCGGTCTACCCACACTCTTGAGGCGCAGCAGCGGTGGTTTATTCCTTGAAGATCTTACTCTGACGGTCGTTCGTGGACTGTTGTTGCGCCGCACGTCGTAGTCGGACGAACCGAAGGGACAAAAAGTCAACTCTTCGTGGCCCGTCGGCGGTACGACGTACTTTTGTTTTTGCCTGTGTACAGTGCTAGGTTCGTTCTTCTTCATCACCTCTTTCCCTCGTCCTTCGTCTGCCTTTCCTTTTTTCCGTTTCATAATCCTTTTTTTGCTGTAACGATGATCATGGATGGATGGACACCGAAAAACGCCGGTTCGTTTCCTTTTATTCTTTCCTTGTTTTGTGTCCCCTTCCTTTTTTGCCTGTAACGATATTGGCGGATGGGACACCAAAACAACGGTCGTTCCTCTCCATCACCTCGCTCCCCCCCCCCCCCCCCCNCCCCCCCCCCCCCCCCGTTGTTAGTCTGCCTGTGTCTTTTCCTCTTTCATTTTCTGCCCTTTCCCTTTTGTCTGTGACGATGATGTGATGCCGAACATTTCAAGCGCGTGGGCGGTTGACGCCGTGGTGGAGTACGAGGACACGGCCTTCTACCTGGAGGCGGACACGTTCGACCCTTGCGGGGGCCACGCAACTCCCACGGGGGCCTACCACTACCACGGCACGGCGGGTTGCCTGCAGGAACAGGCGGGGGCGGTCAAAGGCGAGCACTCACCGGTGCTGGGCTGGTCATATGTGAGTTTGTTTAGATAGATGTAGATATATGTTCTTTTCGAGCTGCTGTAGCAGCGAGCCGGCGGTTTAATGCCAGGATCTCGCGGGGGGGGGCAGGGGGCGTCCGTAATGCATGCGTATGTGTTGTGAGTCAAGCGTTTGCTTGCTTGTGCGGGCTGTACGTGCGCTGATGGGAGTCAGCGCGCGAGTGAGAGGTTGGTTGAGGGCATCCAGAGAGGCTGGCTGTATCTGCATCTCTCTGGGAAAGGGAGGAAGAGGGAAAAAGAAAGGCGTGGGGCTGCAGCAAGAGCGCTTTCGTGCGTCAAGACTGACGAGCGGATTGTGAGGTTGAGCACCAGTGGCGCGCCATGTCGATTTCTTGTCTGGGCTAATTGACGCATCCCGGCATGACTCGCTCGCTATCTGGCACTAAGCGTTCATGACACCGTGAGCTGTTCCGCGGGAATCGATCACGGTCGATGTTTGTTTTCGCATTAAAGAGCAAACAACAGCGGGGTGCACTTCAACCCCGGCGAGCGTCACGGGCTGGCTTCTCTCAACTCTTTGTTCGACACCGGAGAGGCGGAACCCGAAGGGGCAGCACGAAACCGTTTCATGAGCCCCCCCAACAGCGTGCTTGGCCTGTTTCGTGCTGAACCTGCCACCATGACGGTCGCATGCCCCAATCCTCTTCGAGACGTTCCTCCGGCTGCGGTCAGCGGGTTTCACGCCCGTCGAAGGGCTGCGACAGCAAAGTCGGCTCTCGAGGCCGAACCCGCGGGGCTTCTCCCTCCGCCGACCCAATCTAACCCACCCCCTTTTGTTTCCGCACAACCCCATTCTAGGACGGGTTTCCAATCTACGGGCAGTTGGGCCCCGGCGGAGTAGAGATGAAGGTGGGTCGTGGTGTTGTTGCTGTGATGTTGGGTGCTGCCGGTATGTTCGCCTGCTTCGAGAATTTTATCTCTCGGGAGCCGGCCTACTCTACGTTACACCTCTAGACGCGCGTGGGGGCGTTTCATTCCAATGGGGGGCTGGCGGGAAGGTGCGCCACTGCGAAGTCGACCGCCCTCTTGTTTAGTTTTGTGGCGATACATCTGCCGTGTGTAAATCCCAGCCGGCCGCACGGTCGGAAGCCAACCCCCGAGCCGCCTAACCGCTGGACTGGCGCTGCGTTGTGTGGCAGATGTGCGGAGCAGATGGGGCGCACGACACGGCCTGCCTCGACTTGTGCTCCGGCTACGAGGCTACCATCGACGAGGACGAGTTCACGTACCGCTACTACACGGTACGTAACCGTCCCATATTTTCACGTGCGTCGTGATCCCGCCGGACACGATTCTTTGCGCCCTTCCTTCCGACGACGAATGAGTGCTTTTTGGACAAGCGAAGCGCTGTTTCTTTGGTCAACGGTGTGTCGCTATTCAGTACTATAATAGTCGGTCGTTCTCCTGACGACCCTTATCCCGGGAGGGTGCATCGCAGGCAAAGAAAGCACTTTTTCGTGTGTAAGCAACCCGCCATTGAGTCCCGAATAACACCGATTATTTTTTCGTTCCGATGTTTTTCCCCTTTTTTCGTTTGTTCGGTGTCCGACGTTCGATCCTTGCATGCGTGGCCGTCCAGTCGTGCGGGTTCGACGAGTCCTTCTTTCCCTTCACCCTCAACTGCTTCCGCGGCTGCTGCCCGACGGGCAACACGTAAGACTCGGCCGATGAGCTTGTTGCTTGTTGCTTCTCAATCAAGTAGTTCTGAACGGCGAGGCGGGCCCGCACTGCAGTCGTAAATATGTAGCCTTGGCACACAACCGCGACGATACGATGAGCCACCCCTCACGAGAAATCTGTTCCCTGTTCGGCCATCCCTTTTTCCAATTTAGCTACGCTAAACGCAGCTCTGTCGCGCGGCCCGCAAACACAACAGGTGCAGCGACAGACTTGAAGCGTGCGGGGTTGACGCGGACGTAGGCTATACCGACGACTACGTCCCCGTCGCGCTAGAGTCTTTGGATGAGTTCTACGACGCCGAACTGGTCCTTGGGGACGACCTTGAGCTTATCGGCTCCCGGACCACGGTCAACTGCACCCTGTACCTGGGTAAGAGATGCTTTTTTTTTTTTTTCTTTTTTTGTTTTGTCGTGGCAGCTGGGTCTGGGTGGCCTCTCTCCTGCATCGACCCTCTTCCCGACAGCCAGCTCCCCTTCTTCTCGCGCCGCTGCACAAGCCATGTGGTGAAAATTTTGTACTGTTTGCTCCCGCGACGTACCAGCTCCATCTCTCTGTCTGTTGCGGCGTCGGCCAACATGATCCGTGGGCACATGTTGTGAAGTGCTTGTGCCCAGGCTGCGATGCCGAGAAACGACGTTGATTTCTCGCCCTGTCGATATTGGTATGAAAGAGGAGGAACCAAATACAGGACCAGGTTTGTTTGAGTTTCAGCCTGACGGCGACAGCCCAATCCTCCGGAGTTGGCGTGTGTCGGGACGTCTGGGGTCATTTTCGAGCACCAGCGTTTGAGGGACACAGCGGATTGTACCAGCCACTCTTGCGTGTGACCAGCGGAAGCTACATGGTTCGTGTCTACGATTGTGCTGGGCGACGGCCTGGTCGTCCCGTTCGTCGTTCATGTCCTCTCTAGACCGTAGGTGATGGAAGATACCACACCCCCCGGACCCATTTTTGACCAGCTCGATTACTTTACCTCATCACGGACGGGCAGCGTCGAGAATGTCGGCGTTGGAAACGTCTTGTCTAGTGGTTCAAACACAAATGGCATTTTCGTTTGTTTTGCACATCCTTTTTCGTCGTGGATCCCTCGAGCGATGAAGAGTCGGTGCAGGGGGTATGGTATCGTACGTCACTTACGACACCCTGCTGATCTAACGACAGAGACTCTTTGACACCCAGCCGGACGGAAATGTATGGAGTAGTCGCAACTTGTTTGTATTGTCTGTGGTCGATAGCTTCCGCTAGGAGTTGACTCCTTGCCCTCCAGCCAGCAGAGAGACAAGGGACATGAAAGTTAGGCTGCGTTATTTCGGCTATCCTGATGTATGTTTGTCGTCTTCATCTCTTGAACACAAGAACGGACCCGCTGTGTAGGTACAGTAGGGCGTGAAGATAATGTCCGTCTCTCCTTGAAACATGTTTCTGTGCGCATTTTTCAGCACACGATTGGGCGTGTCTGCCGCACAATGGCAGCAAATATCCTTTAGGGGGACGGGAACGATGGCCCTCTCAAAGAGGAGTACACCAGACTGCGTTCTGCAAAAAGTCGTTGAGTGTCCTGCTGTGTTCCTCCCCTCCCACCCCCGATTTTGGCTTTTCTTTCCATCAAAAATCGAACTCTAGGCTCTGAGTCGGAGGTGGGGACTGGAGATGTTGCCCGCCAAACAACCCCATCCCCTACTCCGGCCGCCGTCGCCGATGCTGACCAAGAAACCCCCTCCCCGAGCGCTGCGACCACCGTTCCCACCATGGGCGGCGGCAGCGGCGGGGGCGGGTCCGCGGGGGACGCGCCTACTCCATCTCCCGAGGCAGCTGCTAGGAGCGCGCCGGAACCGACTGCCTCGCCGAGTACGTTGTTGGTTGCGTGCGTGCTTGGCTGACGATCGTGTGGTAGCTCTCTGCCGTTGCCTACCGTGTTGTTTGTTGGCTGGGTTTCCCGTTCAATTCGACCATGCCATCATCGTTCACCGCGCGCGCCCCCGGCTGTAGGATTTGTCGCCGCCACGCTGCAACAGGTTGTAGGCTACTACACGCTGTTGCTTGAGCCCCGCCCCCTCGTTGTATTCGTTGTTCTCGGACCGTGTTCGTCGTATGTTGTTATGGTGGTAGGGCTGATCTGGTCAGGCCGGTCTGCGGTTTGGGTTTATGTTTGTGAAACCTTCACTGCCCTGTGTTTTTCAACAGTCTCGTCACAGCTGACTTCTGGACCACGGGAGAGAGAGAGACCTGACGCCCCCGATCGGGCGCACATTGCCCTCCCTCACTTGACGACCTCGAACCACGGCGCTCGCGTCACACCGTGTTCCTTCCCTTCGGGGACTTCCTCGCTATCTTCCCCCCCCCCCGTCAACGACACTCTAACCCACCGTGCGAGTCCAACGTCTATCCTGCAAACATCCATCTCGCCTCGATGTGTTGTGCTTCCCCGAGAACGACACCGGAGCAACGTTTGGCCCGTTTTTTCCCGTTGCTCCGCATCCGAGGAAACCAGGGATGTTGTGTATGATGTGCGATGGGCGGCAATACCGACACCCGCCTTTCTCCATGGGCCACCCCCCTTCACTTCACTGACCAACCCACTCCATTGGCCACCATTCTCCATTGGCATCCTTCCTCCATTGGCCGGACAGATCCCTCCGATGCACACTTCCCTCCATTGGACCGACCACCACCATATGCCATTGGGCCAACCACCACCGTATACCATTGGACCGACCACCACCGTATGCCATTGAACCGACCACCATCGCGTGCCCTTCCTTGCAGTCCCGTGCTTCCTAGGCCTCCCGCCGTGCGCTCGTTGCCTCCTACCCAATGCGGGGCGGGAGAGTAGGCGCACCCGTGAGACTCATGCACGGCTTTTTTTTTTCTTTTCATTGTGGTGCGAGGCCCTGGCAGTACACTCTGTCGTCGGGTGCCCTCGACAGGTACGGATATGTGCCAAGCGCTCCCCCCCCCCCCCCCCCCCCCGCTCTAAAGCGGGCACCCGCGCTTGTCAAGGATTTAACCCGTCTTGATTATTCTCCATTTCCCTGCCGATGTCGCCAGCACTACCGGGCGCACCCGACTTTAATACATATGTGATGTGCGAGGTATGGATTGATTTAGCGCATGACTGCTTAGTTGGGTCTTGGCGAGAAACATGAGAATGCCAAGGACACACTTAGGTCTGTCGACAATAAAACTTACTGCCCCAGAGGTTACTGGTCTACCGACTACAGAAAG